ATAAAATTAAAATAAGTTTATAGCTAAAATAATTAAAGCCCGTACACTACATCAGATTTTAATCAGATTGAGAAGGGGCCAACTGATCAAGGTTGTTAGAAGTGTTCCAAGTTGCGATCAAATTTAGGTGCGATATTCATGAATAATTATGTCAATATGCCACTATAGAAGGACTTGCCGGCTAAAGAATTGTGTTGAGCTCCTAAATTTATAAAAAATATCCAAATATATGATCTATATCGGTTGTAAAAACTAGAATATGCAGGGAACAATGAATCGATCATCTCAACGGAATGCTCTGCTATCAAGAGACTATGCTTTGCAGAAAGCCATACCCAGGGCTGTCTAAGCATTGGGGGTAATTCAGCAGTTTCCAGACCTGGATAGAGGGACTGTGATCTCACGGAAGACTTTCAAGAACTTTCATGTTGTGTATAACCAACAACCAAACCCAAACTAGTACAATAGAAATCTCTCCAGTGAAACAAATCCCAGTAGAAACAAAATTTTATAGATCTTAAAAATTTGTTGATTAACAAGCTGCTCTCTGATTGGCCCGACTCTTTTATGTTGGCATTGGGTAGCCAATCAGGTACAATCTTTAAAGTAACTTTAAACTGACTCTAAATCCCACCAGAGGGGAGCTACCTGAATGCAATTTGCATATTCATTTAGGGTCAGATATCGTGTGAGACCATGTGCACCGGCAACAGCTGAAGCTTATACCTAACATGGTTTTGTTTTGTTTTTTAAATCAGGCTAGATTGTTCGGATGAATTGACATATAGTTATACTAACACTAATATTTACAGTGAAAATTGTCCCATGTTTATTGTGACAGACATTCAATTTAATCTTCAAGGTATCAGCATGATACTGTTTTTACATGGTAATATCAGGAGATAATCATTATATTTTATCTGCCTCCTGTTGGTCCATTAATGCTGAATCTAGTTTTACAAATGCCAAAAACACTGGTTTGAATGGGAACTAATAAGAATATTTATTAAAACAGGGATACAACAATAGCAACTACCTTTTAAATAACTGAGAATAAATTCTAAACAATCTCACAAAAATCTTATCAGGCTTCAGACTTCTGTTGACATTATTGCAATAAAGAATTGATTGCAAACAAGCGCAATCAATATTACAGGAACAAATTTCTCTTGACACAGCAATTTTAGTTTAAATGATATTATAACATCAGTAAGACAGAATATATGAATTGTTGTGTTGCTGACAATTTTCAATTAATTTATAATATATATTTTGTTGTCTTTAGCATGGATCTAAGCACTGGACTCAATTCCATGTATTGTGTACAGGAACATTCAAATATGTATTATGAGAACAGACACCTTTGTCCTTTACATATTGTCATAAGATATTTCATTCTATGAAAATGAAATCATTGGTTTTCAGCAAGCCAAGTCTGCAGGCGAAAATGAGTACTGCAAAAATTTACATAATAAGGTGTGGCACCACAGGAGATTTAGGAGTTGGGCTCTGATGAAACCAAGTCAGAGAACCTTAATATTAAAGTGCATGGCGCTACTGTAAGAGCAAATCCAGTACATGTGTCACAGATGGAATCTAAGCAGTTGGCAGTGCCTGTGGAATGGTTGGGTGTGGCACACAGAATCTTCAAGTACATCTGTAGGTGGTACATAGCATCTATGGCTGCCTGCCTACGTCTGTCTGGAGGCAAGCAGACAGTCAAATAGGACAAATCAGATAAATGAAATTGACATATAGCTTCAACATGTTACCTCCATTAAAGTGCACACAAAATTACATAGAAGAACATCAGAAACCCATCCGAGTAAAAGCTCTTGTTCCGAGTGCAGCGCTCAGACATTAAATTTGATTAAAAACGTTAACCAGTTTTCACAATTTTGATTCAGTAAACAGAATAATGCTTTACAAATTGTGAGATGATAGCGGCATCTTTGCTACACCGATGGAATTGGATCTAAAAAGTCAATGCTACAACTGATGATGCATAGAGTAATAAAATAAAGTTTGACTGAGTGAATACCGCTATATGCACAGTAATCATGATATCAACGTTGTACGCATGGACTGATCAGCACCAATAGGGTTCTTTAAATGCACACGGCCAATGCACAGATGTAATTTGCATATTCTCTCTCCATATTACAGAAATGCATGCAAACTAAATGCAATTGAATTGCTTCGCCCGGTGACAACTGTTATTAGTAATTCCTCCGGTATGTCTCAACAACAAATTCCAATATGGCTGACCATATTTGCTCTATTAGTAGTGTATACGCTAACATAAATGAGACACGTTTGCGGTTAAAATATAAAGTCATATCTTATTGAGGTGATTTTTGGCTTCAATACAAGTACTTTTAATAAAGATGCGATACTAATGTACAATATTTACCCTGTAAACATTGAAGGGAAACTTGGCGATGGATTTGTCATAATTATGTATCCATGTTGCTAACCATT